CGACCTGGGTACGGGGCTGGCGCCGCTTTGCCGAGCCGGTTGCGGGCCGGGGTGGGCGGCTCTGGGGGCACGGTGGGCTGCTCGGCTGGGGGCGAAGCAGCTGCGCTCACTGGCGCTGCCTGCAGGTCTTTTCCGGGGCCCTGACCGGTGCTGCCGGGAGCACGACCAGTGCGAGGTGCAGATCGCGGCGCTGGAGTTCAACTATGGCATCCGCAACTACCGGCTGCACACTGTGTCCCACTGCGACTGTGATGCCAGGTGTCCCTGTGGTGGGGCTGGCAGCTGTTGGGCCTGGCAGGTGCCCCATGAGCCACTCACACCAGCTCTCTTGCAGGTTCCGGCAGTGCCTGCTGGACCTCAATGACACCATCTCTAACATCATCGGCATCACTTTCTTCAACTTGCTGGAGGTGCCGTGCTTTGTGCTGGAGGAGAGCGAGGAGTGTGTGCAGTGGCACTGGTGGGGAGGGTGAGTCCCAGGTGCAGGGCTGGCCTTGGGCTCCCTCAGCCCCTGGGTTTAGGACCTGGTGTTGTGCAGAGCCAGCTGTTCCTCCCCTGCTCATTCCCTGCGTCTCCAGGACAGGGTAGGCCAGGAGAGCAGTCCATGTTGCAGCCCCAAAGCTCCTAGGGTGGGTTTTTTTTGCTGCGGGGCCCTGAACATGCCCTGCCTGGCTGTGCTGTCTGCTGTGGGTGGCACAGCTCACCTGTGCCTGCAGGTAAGGCTGGATTGGGCTGAGGCAGGTCAGTGTACAGCACTTCATGCAACATGGTGTCCCCAGGTGTGAGCGTTATGGTGTAGTGCCCCTGGCCAGGATGGTGCAGCAGAATCAGTACCGCTATGGCCTGCCAATGGAGGAGACAGACAGCCTCACTGTGCAGTCCCTGCACAAGGGAAGGAAGTCCTCTAGGTTTGGCCGGAAGTGGCTACGACAGAGACTGGGACAAAATCACAAGCTCCGCCAGAGCCCTGGGAAGAGTCGGAGACTTGTGGCAGTGCAGCAGCCGTGGGACCCAGGTACCTTGCCCCCTCCATCTGCTAGGGATGATGTTGACCCCACAACCAGGTGCCTGACAGCTCAGTGGCAGCTGGAGCCAGGCCCTCCAACAGGAATGACCATGTTGGAGCAGGACTCTGATGGAGGAAGGCAGATACTTGGAGTAGCGCAGAAAGGCAGTAAGGGTTCAGCACACCCTGCCTGCGTGGCCCACGGCGAAGAAGACAGCGTGAGATCCAGCCCAACCGTGGAGTTGCACAGAACAACCCCTGTGCCTCCCCTGGATGAACGCAGGCAGCAGGGTGAGTCGGTACTAGGGACAGAGCGTGTGGCAAAGAAGGGATTTCACCAGACCTGAGTGGTGTAATTGCCAGGGCTGCACCCCCTTCTGATGTTGCCTATCACTGAGGTGCATGTGGTGCTTGCTGAGGCCTGTGTGCTAGAGGTGCCCCTCACCATCTCCCTGTGTCTTCTCAGGCTGGGGTAGGATATGCAGATGCTACAAGCACCTGGATAAGTGTGAGCACCAGATTGCACCCCATGAGGTTAAGTACAAGCTGCATAACATGGACACCCGGACCCTGTTTCACTGCAACTGCACTCGCAGGTCAGTACCCTTAGCACACCCTCCACACAAGTGTGCACACCCAATGTGAACTCCCTGGGGACTGACCTGACCCATAGGCTAGCCAGGTCTTGGCTTCTGGAAAAAGTCCCATATGGGACTTGCCAGGAATGTCCACCCTGTCCAGCAGCCGGTGACCACTACCTTCCCTTGCTTGCAGACTGGCACGGTTCCTGCGCAGGGTGAGAGGCCTCAGTGATGTGGAGGAGGCGGTACTGGCTGAGTGGATTGCCATGGACTGCTTCATGCTGGAGCTGCTGGCTGACTGTGGCCTGGGCAAGAAGCCACAGCCCAAGTAAGTGCAAAGGGGTCAAGGGAGCTTAGCCTGCCTGGGGCTCTACAGCCTGTGCAGGCAGAAAGGACTTCATGCATGGCTGGGTGCAACCCTGGAGGCTTAACTGCTTGTTGTGAGGCTAGCTCTATGAGCTTTGCCCCCTGCTTTACTGTGCCCTGGGCAGAGCTGAGACTCACTGGGTGTGTGTGGCAGTGCAGAAGGCAGCCCAGTCAGAGGACTGGGCCTGGACTTGCTCTGGACGCCAGTGCTGCAGTGTTACAGTCTCCAGGGCCACTCCTGATGCTCACTGCTCTGCTTCTCTGGCAGCTGTATTACAGTGACCCAGGCTGTGCTAGTACCTGCTTGGCATCTCAGAAACACCTTGAGGCAATGGGGTCCTCAGCATGTGACCTCCAAGGTCAAGCACCAAGATTGGAAGATACAGGACAGTGGTGGTACACTCTATGAGAGATGCTTGCAACTGGCCTTGGAACAGAAACAGGGAGTTCAGCATCACATGGCACCCCGATGATGCCTGAGCAGAGCTGCCTTGCATAGAATGAAGATGTGCTGTGCAGCAGCTGCTGGAACTGCTTAATTCCTGTCCTGGAGACAAAGGATGGCTCTGAGCATGGCTGTTGGCATAACTGTATGGAGTCTTCCCTGGAGATACTCAAAACCCACCTGGATGTAATCCTGGGCAATGTGCTCTAGAGGACCCTGCTTGAGCAGGGAGATAGGACTAGATGATCTCCAGAGGTCCCTTCCAACCTAAACCATTCTGTGATTCTGTGTGAGTTTGGGGGCCAGAGCTGGAGCAGGGGGAAGGCAGAGGGTCTGGGAGGGGTTGACTAGCCCCTCCCAATGAGTGATTGGACTGTGGGGTGGCTGTGGCTGCCATCTGTGAGCATCAGAGCAAGGGGAAAGGAACAGAAGTACTTGGAAAAGGCCCCTCCGCCACCTTCCTTCTCTGCTCAGCCCTGGGCCACATGGGGTGGGGGAGATGCTCAACCCACCCTCACCTTTGGACATTTGAATCCCAGGCAAGGGAGATGCCAGGAACTATCTTCCCCCTCCTCCCACCAGGATTTGTGCCCCTCTGCTGGTGGGGCTGAGTGGTCCTGAGCTGCTGGGTGAGCCTGGCCCCTGCCCCAGCCAGGGGAGGAGGTGACTGGCAGCCATGTGTGGGGATAGAGCTGTGGCTGTGTATACTCCAGAGCTCCTAGCTCTGGGGTAAAGACTGGTTCCTGGCAGGTGAGGAGCAGCATCATCCAGGGTGATGTAAGGTGCTCTGCTGTGGGGAGGGCATAGTCCCCTGCACGTGTGTGCAGCAGGAGAAGTAAAATAAAGAGTGGTGCTGTGTGGTGCTGGAGAGAGGGCTGTGCCTACTGCAGCCCTTGACCTAGGGCTGTTTCTGACCCCCTGCAGTAAGCACAGCACAGACAGGGAGGGCAGGATCATTTATTTTGTTACTTGCGGTATGTCTAAGCCTGAGGCACAGTGGTAGCAGCAGGGAAGGTGCAAGCTTCAATCTTCTGGCTACCTACACCAACCCATTGGCCTGGGGTGGTCCTAGCTCCACATCTGCAGCAGATATGAGGCCAGCTTTTCTCCAGCAAGACTGAATTGCCTTGGCCAGCATGTGTCTTGCCCTGACTTGTCTTTGAATTTCATGAGGGCCTTCCCCCTGAAGCCCCAGCCACCCCCACTGCAGCACTAGACTTCCTGTCTCCTATGTCCTAGCTGTGCTGCCTCACAGCTTCTCCATGACCAGGGCAGCAGCTGAGGTAGTGGGGGTCAGGGACAAGCCCCTACAAGCCAGGCATACAACAGGTTACAGGTACAGAGGGTTATTCACTGCAATAAATAAGGAAGAGGATGTCTCAGCAAGAAAGCACACAACAAGCACCCTAGATGAAGGGTAGGGTGTGCTGCATCAGTGTCCTGTGGCACAGCTACAGCTGTCCAGCTCCTGGGACCTGGTCGTCCTCCCTTGGGGAGGTGCTGCATGGGCCCCCAGGGGGGCTGATGGGGCTCATCTTCCTGCGGGGGTAGCCTTGGTCTACACTTTCTCTCCGATGGCCTGTGACCTGGTCAGTCGTCTCCAAACAGAGCACAGGCAGCAGGCCCAGGTTCCTGGGGTCAGCCCTGGCCAGGAAGTTGTCAGCAGAGACATGCCATAGGCCATACTGCTCCTGTGTACTCTGGTAGAAGGAGCCTGAGTTGCTCTCCTGGCTCTCAGCTGCCTGCTCTGTTTCCTTGGCTTTGGCCCCACGGCACCCTGGCTCCTGCTTGGACAAGTGGATGGTAGGGATGTGCCCTGCAAGGCCATGGCGGCTCTGGGGTGAGGGGCTGCGGCTGCTGCCCCGCTCCCGGCTTGATGGCCGTAGGATGAGGCCCTGGAACTTGGCCAAGGTAGGGCTCCGGCTCCGGTGCTGTTTCAGCTTGCCTGGGCTGGGACTGCGGGATTTAGAAGCCAGCAGGACCAGTGTGCTGTCATCTTCTTCTTCAGAGCCCTCCTCTGACCTGGACAGGGAGATCTGCAGGCCCCCTTGAGTCAGCATGGCTGGCAACAGGGCCCAGCCTGCCCCATGCATAGGGCTAACAGTGCCAGCCCCTGACTTGCACACCAGGAAGTGCAGAAACACTGCAAGACTGTGACAGCTAATCTTCACAAGGGGCCACAGGAGCCTGCCTTGTTCAGCCAAGCACCCACACTTCCCCCCTGCTTCCCCCAGCCCTTCAGCCTTGCCTCTGGGCCATGCTGACCTGGAAGGGCTCTGTCATGCCGGCAATGCTGCTGGAGTTGTTGCTGTAGTATCCAAGGATGTACTCGCCTTTCCCCTTGGGTAGCGCCTCCTCTGAGAACACCACCTGCAGCCCAGAGACAGCTGGTGGGCACCAGGGCTAGGCACAGGGATGCTCCCACCCCAACCCCAGCTGAGAGCAGAGATCTGCCTGCCCTACACTCAGCACAAGGCAAGAAGGAGGTGCCCTCCCACCCCCACCATCAGTGGCATGAGGGAAATAATGGGACCACCCAGCCTCAGGGTAAAGGGGTCACTGTTGCAGATGCTACTGCCCCAGCAAGGCTGCAGGAGCCTAGGCAGGGCATGCTGTGGCTCCAGGAGCTGCTCACCTGTGCACACACTTGCTTCTCCGTGCAAGAGTCTTCATCATCACTTCTGGCCCAGACGTAGGACACATAGTCTTTGGGATGCCGAAAACCCACCTGTGGGTGGGCACATGCAGGAGAACACACAGATGAGCTGGGGAAAGTGCTGGCACCAATACCCTCTGCTGTGCTAAGCACTGTCTCCCTTTGCCTAAGCCTGTCCTGTGCTCAGCTCGCATTTGGCCCTGCTGCGCCCTACCCCTGGGACCATGAGACTGCCTTACCCTCTCCTTGCAAGTTCAGGGCTACCACCAGCAGAGTGTGGGGGCACCAATGACTCTTTCACCCACCCCAACAGTGCCCTGCTGGGGAAAGACCCTGGCACTCAACCCTCCCTAGGAATGTCTGGCTTTGGACCACATGGAGACCAGAGACTGGAAGGAATAGGAGAGAGCTGCTAGATCTGACTGCTCTGAAGCAGGGCTGTATCCTCCCAGTGGCTCCCAAAGGAAGGGAAAATGCAGCTCCCCGGGCAGAGCAGGAAATGCAAGCTGCATTGGGTTCATGCCATGCACCTGTGTCTGCTAGGGGGAATAGCAGCAGAAGGAATCCTGCTGTGAAGTGGTCCCCACTCCTTTCAACCACAGCAGCCCCAAAGCCACTACCTGGTAGAGGCCTATCCAGTCCCAGGAGCTCCGGTGGAAGTCAGCAGCCATCTTGTACTTGACAACTGCTTGCTCAGGCCTGCTCCACTCATCAGCCACATATATCTCAACTGGGGGGTTGTCTGCCTTGGAAGCAAACTGCCAAGGACATGCATATAGTGAGTGAGGGCAGGTGGCTGCATGCCAGACAGAGCTTCCCCAGGGTGCCTGTCTGGAGCTGGGCCCTCAAAGACACACCAACAGCAGCAGCCCCACTGTCCCCAGCCACTGTAGACAGGCAGCTGTGCCTGCTCAGCAAAAACATATGCCACACAGCCTCACTGGCTCCCAGACTTGGGGCCTTGCTACCCCTTCTGTGCCTCCTGCCCCCTAACCCAACTGGGAGGAAGAGCCTCACCTCTGTGAGTGGGAGCCCAACACACCTGCCTCCTGACCTGGGGCAAGTACACCCATGGCCAGTGCTGGGTGATCCTGGGAGGTGCTCACCTGCACTGCAAAGATGGCAGCCACGGGTTTGTGGTCACTCACAGTGTACTCCATGTGGCAGCAGTAGCAGAGCTGGCTCACCGACAAGACACCCTGGCTGGGCTGGCACCCACCCACACCGGGCCCAGTACTGGGAGACTTGATCTTCCAGAGGATGCGGTCAGTCCAGGCCGGCTTTCGCTTCTTGACACTGCAGGGCACAGAGCAGCATCTCTTGCCTGGCAGGGGGCAGTGGGCTCCACCCCAAACTGCCTCCCCCTGGCACTATGACATGTGTAGGCAGGGGATGCAGCTCATCACAGAATCACAGCTCAGTGCAGCTGCAGGGACAGACCTGCACTGACTGTCCTGTCCCAGCCTCCTGTCCCCAGCATGGCCCACACCTGCCCCACCATGGTCCCCCCCATTTCTCACTTCCAGCTGCCCCTGGCATCCATGAGCACCAACAACCATCTTGGTTATCAGCCTCACGACGCCTGGATCCTTCGATTGCGCCACCCTCTCCCAGCCTGCAAGCCCAGCATGCACTCAAACCCTGCTGTCCTACCTGCTGTCATACTTGTTGGTGCCCACATCAAATTTGAATGTGGGTGGGAAGTTCAGAGGTCCCTCCTGAAAGCCACTCAGGACAGGCCAGGTACTCTTGGCAATGTTCAGCTGAGGGGAAGAGCAGGTTAGGGAACAAACCAGGCCCCATGACCAGACCCCACACACTATTGAAAGCCCCTGCTCCCTTGCTGCCAGACCCATGTGCCTTACTGGGCATCACACAGCTCTCAGGTTTGTCCTTGCCATGCAAGCAGCAAGTCCATAGGCCCACTGCCCCCAGCTCTTCCAGACGTGCTAACGGGTGCACAGCTCCAAGGAAAAACATCATGTAACTGTGCTGCCCTTTGCCCATAAAGCTGGGAGAGCTGTGAGCACACTCTAGCCCTTTGCGCCCTGTGGGTGACTGGCAGGCAATAACAGGATGTGCCCTGTCACACAGCTCTGGCAAGTGCTGAGTGACGCTCGCTGCCCAGCTCAGAAGCACAGCAGCATGCTCAGCCCACCTGGCTCTCACCTGGTCCTTCTCCCAGAGCTGACTTAGGATGTTGCTGTCGATGGCGTATTTCACAAAACGGATGTCAAGGCTCTCGATGCGGAAGTTGAGGTCCCCAAACCAGAACACGAGGCTGGGGATAGGGGGGCAGTAGGTTAGAAGGGCCCAGGCCACAGGGCCCAGGCAGCAGAGCTAAGTAAAACAAGCCCAGGCAGGGGAATGCGGACAATCTCAGTCTGCAGCACAGGCACTCCCAAAGGCAGGAATGTAGGTCAGCATTTGGCCAATAGCTTGGCCTGCTGCCAGGCCTGCCAGAACAGTTTAGGTGTGGACCAAGCACCATCAGCCAACTGGGCCAGGCTTCCCTGGGCAAAAAAAGAGGACGGAAATTTCCATTGCAAGAAACCTGCTTGAGGCAGACTGCACAGTCAATGCACTGGGGCATTGACTCCACCTCAAACTCAAACCACAATATAGTGCGAGTATGGCAGGAGCTGTACCAGTCCTGGACATGCCCCAGGGGAGACCGAAGACCCCTCTCGACACCTACCCCACTGTGCAGCCATCCTGGGCCAACGAACAGCCTTGCAGCTCTGTAGGCAAGACCCCATCTCTGAGCTGTACCAGAGTCAGATGCCAGACCCAAGACCCTGGCTAGAGGAGGCCAGGGGACGGCGGGCTGGCACTGCAACTTTGGCTCAGAGTGGGGAGCAAAGGGGGGTGTACGCACTCATGGTCCAGGATGCCGCTGGCTGCGTGCCCCTCGAACTGCTGCATGTGCAGTATAGTGGCGAAGTCCTGCTTGCGCTGCTCTGCCTTCTCCAGGTGCGCTGGCAGGTGGCAGTTCAGGAAGCAGACCATGTGGCCGAAGATGGAGAGCCGGATGCTCACCCCACCCTTGTTGCCCTACACCAAGAGGAGCCCACTGGATCATTGGGAAACCAGTCCCTCACCACCTCCCTCAGGGCCACACTCACCCAGCAGCCGCCCAGCCCTGTCCTGGTGCAATCTGTTTGGATGTCCTGCAGGAAGGGGAGGTGGTAGTACTTGGCAAATACCAGCAGGAACAAGCCTTGCATTCGCACTGTGCTGACCTGAAATGGGAACGGGGGTGAAGCAGGATGATGGCCACAGCAGAGCCCATAAGAGTAGGGGCCTCATCTCCAGACCGCAGCCATGCTAGGACAAGGGGTAGCACCTCTGTTATGCTAACACCTAGAACTCCAACAATGCTAGGGCTTATCCAGTCCCTGGGCCAACCCTGCCAAGTGCCCTGGGCATACCTGGGGGACCAAACCTGCTCGGGGATCCACAGGCTGCCAGAAGCACAGGCTTGTTCCTGCATACACCTTCCACCCTGGTACAACACAGCAGCAACAGAAAGGGCCCCAAAGCACCACAGGGAAAGCCAAAAAGCCAGTAGGAAAAAAGGGAGCAGGATGCTGAGAGCTATGCAGCATGCTGGTGAGATGCCCCACTAGCCCTCAGTTCAACCCACACACTCTCCTACTAGCTACAGGTTGTCCCTCCAGTTAGTTTTCCCACTTCATAGCCTCTCTTGATCTCTGCAGTCCAGTTCTGCCTCCCCATGGCCCACCTGCCTGGTAGGCAGGCAAAGAAAGTGCACCAGCTGCCCAGCCCCATTGGGACCTCCTTACCAGGACAAAGTGGAAGGGGCTCAGCACATCCATGAAGAGTTCGCTCCACTGATCTGTGAACAGGGCATCCTTCAGGCGCTTGTTTAACTTGGAGTTCACCTCTTGCAGCCTGGACGGAGAGGGATAGGGAGCTCTGCAGGACCTGTCCAGCCACAGACAGTTCCCTCAGCCAACTAGGAAGGTGTCTGTATCTCAGCTAGGGAGAGCTCCTTAGGAGAGGTGTGAAAGGACAGTGCTGGGGGGCACTGCCAGGGCAGGAAGGGCAGTTCAAAGGAGGACCCTGGATTTAGAGCATGGACTAGCTGTGTCCTTGCTCCAGAAATGCTGGGGCACGTGGCAGCAAGAGGCACCAGTGGCACTGTGAACCCACAGTGGACTTGGCCCTTTAAGCAGGAACAGTTCAGCTGCACAGGGCTGAGCAACAGTCTAAAGCCTGGACATTTCAGCTGCATTAACATCTGTAGAGAAGCCAAGTCACACCAGGACTTCAGCACAGGTGTCCAGACACATCCTAGCCACCAAGCTCAGAGCAGCAGCAAATAGAAGGTTAATAATGCTCCTCCTGGCTCAGCAATTAGTGAACAGAGGGAAGGAGATTGTCCTTAGAGAACAGCAGAATCAGGAAATGCCTTGCCCAAAAATATCAAGTGCCCAGGGCTCAGAGAAAGAATGCAGCCAGGCAGAGATATCTTGGAGGTGGGGAGCAGCTCATCAATACAGGACATCCCATCCCTGGCCAAGAAACAAGAGTCCCAGTGAGTCCCTCATACTGAACACAGGACTTACGCAGTCAGCTACCCCCAGCACGCCATCCAGCCAGGCCGAAGTCTTATCTCCACAGCCCCACACAGCTACATCCTGCTGGTCTGCAGAGCCAAGGGGGCCATGACCAAGAGAGAGCTCCAACACAGCACCACAGCTCTGGCAGTCCAGGCAGCCTCAGCCTCATGCTGCTCCCTCCCTGGACAAGGAGGATGGGGGTTCCTGTGAACCTCTTGGATACAGACTAAGCTCCTCCATCTCACATACACTGTGAGCTTGTCAGGGCAGGGGCTATGTCTTGGCAAGAATCTGCAGGCTCTGCAGCAGTTCCCAAGGGGCCAATTTTCCCTTTGACTCTAGCAGAGCCTGCCTTGCTGGCCTCACCAATAGAGCCTTACTACACTGACTTGGAGCTGTCTTGCCAGAAGTTAAGTGTTTCCAGGGGCATAGAGCCAATTCAGCTGTGAGAGAGCAGATTTGTGCCCTTGAGGCCTTGTATATCATGGGCAAAAGCTGAGACAAGAATGCTCCCAGGGGACTCTGGCTGGCAAGTTAAATCTCTCTGCAGGCATGACCCCAAGGATTGCCAGGGCTCATGGCAAGGGCAGTATTCCAATAAGCCAGGCTCTGCATGGCACAGTCAGCTACAAGCTGGGAGATTGAAGGGTTCAGCTCCTCTTAGTGCCTTCCATTTTTATTAGGAGCCGACTTTCAATCACCTTTGCTGATGTTTTACCACCTGCAGTACCAGGTCCCTCCTTGCTCCCCATGGCATAGGGAAGATTGGAGCTTAGGCTTTTCAGCTCCAAGCACCCATAGACTACAAGGAATCCCTTCAACAGGAATCTCTGTGGGGTAGGAGAGGGGGCCCTGCACCTTACATCCTTACCCAATAGCGATCATGTCTGCATCATTTGTTGCACCTGTGTTGAGATGAAGCAGGGATGTCACATCATTTGGGGGCATGGCTGTGCCCACGTTCCAGGTGACCACTGTGATGCTTAGGAGGATAAAAGAAGAACACGCTGATATTTGGGCTCTGACGTGTTCCCTGTCCTGCCTTGCTCAGTCCACAGCCTCATCAAGGAGGCCATCTCCCAAGAAGTGGCTGCAGCTGAAGTTTAGTCACAGCCCAGATGCCATGTCCTTAATGCCTATTTGAAGGCGACAGGTCATTGCCTCTGAATTCCTCCAGGGTCTGCACCCAGGCACGTGGCAAGCTATGCTGTATCCCAAGCCCCAGTGCAATTCTGGAAACTGGTACAACGAGCTCTCATTTTTATTGGCAGTAACTGTTAAACCCAGGCTGGCACAACAGGGACCATGTGAGACAGGATGTCCCTGGAAAACTGCTCTCCCTCCTTTCCCCAGAAATCATCCATCTCAGGCTCCTGGAGAAAGGGGCCTGGATTTCAATTCATTTGGTCCTTCCCTGGAGGCCAGCCTGAACAGCCAGGATGTGACTCATGACAGAAATGCTGCAAACCCAGTAGCAGTGTCCTTCACTAGTGCAAAGCCATCATCAATCACAACACATGAATACCATTATGCAGCATGCACCAGCAGCTTTTTCAACAGCACTAGGACAAGTCTTAGCCATAGGAAGCACATTTTAACAGTAAGGTGGGATACTGCCACCTCAGTCCCACAGCTCAAGTACAGCAGGGGCAGATGGCACCTGCTCCAGACCCTGTACCGCTAGTACATCTGGGACACAGCACCCCACAGAGCATCCACTCCCCCAAGTGCTACCTGCAGAGAGGGCAAGTACTGGGCCTCTTTTCCCTCTCCAGTGTGCCTAGAGGAAACAGATTGTTAGTAGCCCCTCATCCAAAATTCTTCCAGCTGGATATCACCCATAGTGTGGAGGTTGGGAACCCAGGAAGAGGCTGCTTTACAGCAGGGGCAGCTTTGACCCAGCATTCCTTACCATCACTGTTCCCTCACCACCACCAGCACCACCCAGCAGCCATTGCTCTCCTCCCTTAGCACAGCAGGCAGACAGCCACAGCAACACCCGCTCACCGGAACGAGCCATCCTCTGCAACCCTTCCCGGACAGCCAAGGACAGCACTGAAGGAGCCAGCAGAGCTTGGTGGGCTAAGGGATGACCCAGCCCTCGCAAACATGGAGAACTCATCCAACTTCGTTTTGGAGAGGGCCACAGTCTTGGACAGGCCAAACTGTCCCCCAGTGATGAATTCACTGGAGACAGCTTTGGGCAGGCCTATGGCTTGGGGAGAGGAGTCTGCCCAGGCCGAGATGTGGTTGCTGGACTCTGCTTTGGGGAACATCTCCCTCCGCTCTGCGAGCAGCGGCTTCCCAGGGGTAGCTTGGTCCGAGGGACTGAGTTCTGACAACAAGGACTGGCTTGGAGATTGGCTCAACTTCACCGGGGCTGGTACAGCAGCATGCACCGAGGGGCTGCCCGAGCCAGGGGACAGTGGCCGGCACTCTGCTGGGGGCAGCAAGCTTGGCTGTGAGAATATTTGGGGCCCACCAGCCCCATCCAGCTGGACCCTGCTGATGTCCAGCAAAAGAGGCGGGACAGCCCTGCCCAGGGCCCTCTCCTCAGGCACCCCGTGCTGTGACCCATCAGGCTGCGAGCACAGGGATCCATAGGAGAAGGGGTCAAAGACAGCATCAGGCTGAGAGCTCCTCTGCACAGCTAAGCTACTGCCCCCGTTGAAGGATGCCACCGGAGCCCTGCCAGAGCCTTCTGGATGGAACTGGATGGAGCTCTCCGGGCCGAAGGGGGCCGGAACAAACAGCTTTGGGGGGGCAGCGGCCGCAGGACTCCGCGGGGAGACCGGCTGATGTCTGAAGGATGTGGAGTGTCCCTGGTCCATGCTGCCGCGCCGAGCCAGCTCCATCTGCAAGGAAACCGGGGGCCGCCAGACTGCCACGCACAGCATCCAGGCAGGCGCCCGCAGAGGCCGGACCCCGCCGCGGCCCCCGGGTTC